TTATGGCATATTGGTTCCAAATGCATGAATAGGTTAAAAAAATATGAATATGCTGTCAAATTTGAAAGATGGCTCTATTTCTCAATGTGAAATATGCGTTGAGGCAAAGTTTGCTAAAAAAATCATTTTTCCAACGTTAAACATCATACACTTGTGCTCTAGAAATGATACACACTGATATAGCAAATTTCTAAAATACTGAGACTATAAGTGGTAAAAGATACTCCGTATTATATTTCTTTTATAGATGATTTCACTCGTTTTTCAAAATTATATCTGCTAAGAACAAAAGATGGAGCAAAACAAAAGTTTTTTATTTTTAAAACTGAAGTAGAAAATCAGTTAAATAAAAAAAAAATCAAAAGGTTGTGTTCTGACAGGGGTGGTGAATATGAATCCATATCTTTTAAGACTTGAACAATCTGGAATCATCCATGAAATTACTGCGCCTTACACCCCTCAACAAAATGGCATAGCTGGGAGGAAAAATAGAACTCTCAAAGAAATGATTAACGCTCTTCTTATTAGCTCAGGTGCTCCGAACTCTCTGTGGGGAGAAGCTGCTCTTACAGCTAATCATATTCTCAACAGAATACCTCATAAAGGGTACGAGAAAATACCTTATGAGATGTGAAAAGGTTATACCCCCAACTTAAAATACTTCAAAGTGTGGGGGTGCTTAGTAAAGGTAGGTCTCCCATCATTCAAAAGACCTAATTTTGGGCCTAAGACCACAGATGCAGTCTTTGTTGGATATGTAGAAAATAGTGCTGCATACAGGTTTATGTACTTAGACAATCTGTCTATGTGCGAAGTTACTTCGCCCCCTATCCCTCAAACTAAGAATGAATTTGAACAACCCAGAAGAAGCAAGAGACAAAGAACTAAAACAAGTTTTGGTTCTGACTTTATAACATACATAACTGAGTTGAATGATAAAACGAGATTTCTTATCAGTTTGTATGTCAGCTAATCCTAGAAGAGGAACCAAAGTCCTTTGAGGCTGCTATGCGCTCAATTGATGTTGTTTTCTAGAAAGAAGCCATACAAAGTGAATTAGACTCCATCAAGTCTTATCACACTTGGGAGGTGGTAGATTTGCCCAAAGGGGCTAAACCAATTGGCTGCAAGTGGATCTTCAAAAGAAAATTTAGACTAGACGGGTCCATTGAAAGATTCAAGGCGAGGCTTGTGGCTAAGGGATACAAACAGAAGTTTTGTGAAGACTACTTCTACACGTATTCACCCGTGACTAAAATAACAACCATACGTGCGATGTTTTCCTTCGCCACATCTCACAAGTGGACAGTCCATCAAATAGATGTCAAAACAACCTTCCTAAATGGGGATCTAGATGAAGAAATCTACATGGAATAACCACCTGGATATGTCGACCCAATGCAAGAAGGAAAGGTATGTAGACTTATAAAATCCCTGTACGGACTAAAGCAAGCTCCCAAATAGTGGTATGAAAAATTTCATAAAACACTTTTGGATCTAGGTTACTCGATCAACAGATCATATGCTTGCCTGTACTCGAAGGTGATTAAGTCTAGCAGTATATTGATATGTATCTATGTAGATGATATGCTAATCTTTAGCTCTAATATCAATGCGATAAAAGAGACTAAAAAGTTTCTATGTGATAAGTCTGACATGAAGGATTTGGGGGAACTCGATGTGATACTTGGAGTAAAAGTCATAGAAAGTGAAGATGGCTACAAGTTATCTAAAAGTCACTACACATAGAAGCTATTAAAGAAATTTGATAACTTCGAGGTAACCCCGGCTCAAACTCCTTATGATTCTAGCGTTAAACTAACATAAAACACAGAGGTAGGAGTGTCTCAAGAAAAATATGCGAAAATAATTAGGAGTCTGATGTTCTTAATGAACTATACCAGACCTGACATTGCTCTTGTAGTGAACAGACTCAGTCAATACACGCACAATCCAAGTGAAGCGCACTGGCATGCACTAAGACGAGTGTTGCGCTATCTAAGAGGCACGATTGACTAGGGACTTCACTATTTCGGATTTCCTAATATCCAGAGGGATGCTACGATGCCAACTAGGTATGTATTTACTATGGGGGGAGCAGCAGTATCGTGGAAATCCACTAAACAATCGTGTATAGTCAGATCAACAATGGAGGTTGAGTTCATAGCTCTTGATCTGGCTAGGCAAGAAGCCGAGTGGCTAAGAAACCTACTGGCAGACGTGCCGTTGTGGGGGTGTACCACTCCTTCAGTGCCCATACATTGTGATTCACAAACTGTCATATGTATAGCAAAGAATAGTGTTTATAATGGAAAGAGAAGACATATAAGAGTCAGACACGAGTATGTACGACAGTTGATTCTAAATGGAGTACTCACATTAGAATATGTGAAGTCTGAGAGGAATATTGTAGATCCTCTCACAAAAGGTCTAAATAGAAAGGTCATCCTTGAAACGTCAAGGAAAATGGGTTTAAAATCAGTGAGGTAAGGAATTCATGATGGACACCACAGTCGTGGTCAAACGCAGTAATGGAAAGACTTACATACCCAAGTGAAACTGAACATAAGATGTTCTTAAATAACCAATCTACGTAGAGGTAGATACCAAAAGGCAAAGAGTTTGACTTCTGAAGAACCTGCATATTAAGGGCTGATGTGTGAACCTGAGTTCAAAACTACCAACTTCTCAAAGAGTTCAAGACATAGTTCACTCCTGAGAAGTAAGTTACTCAAGTCACTACGTGTCAGTTCAAGTTTAAACACTGGCATCAAGGTCAGCTCTTGTGTGACGCTCAGACCTCGCTTGCTTCTACACTTCTTGAATGTGTGGGGAATTATTGGAGTTAGCATTCAAAGAAGTATAGTTTCCTTTCAACCGTGTCCCATATTGCTTTCCTTGGAGCCTTTTTCCCACCTTTTAAATACCACCCCTTTTAGAGCATTTGAAATATTTAGAGGGAAGGAAAAGGGGAACCTCACGCGCGCACTGCCGCCGCTCGCTCGGTTTGCACGAATGCGAGGTGTGGTGTGCAAAATTTTTACATGTTTTCGCTAAATTTTCCCCTTCAGAATTAAACTTGTGGACTAGAATGAGTCTATCAGTTCGTGTCCGATTTTCCCCTTCAAAATTAAACTTGTGAACTATAATGAGTATATCAGTTCGTGTCCTACTTCAACGCTGATTGTTGATCTGTTACGCCTTTTGTGCAAAAATTGTGTGGCTGGAATTAGGGATGCAATTATTTCCAAGGCTATAAATACCTGCCTCACCTAAGCTCTATTCATCCCATTCATTCTACTCTTCTTCGTCTCTTCTGTCGTCTGAGTATTAAGACAGGTTCGCCTGCGTTTAATTCGTGCAAATTAATTCGTAGTTTTTCTGTATTAGCTAGTCGAAAGAGATCGGGCTAAAGACCGCACAGTCTCAGGCAAATCGCTTTTAAGGCATTCGCTTTTTTTCTTATATGTTGCTTTCTGGGTTTGTGACTTTCTTGCGACTTTCTCCGGTAAACTTCTTTCGCTGGGGTGATTCGTGTAGCCAAGAAATATGATTTGGTTTTCTTAGATCTTGTATTTTACGGCGGATGATGGATGGTCTAAGAAGTGGCAGGGTCTTCGTTCTTCCCTTCTAATCTAAACAGTGTGTTGCTTGGCTTGAGCTCTGATCTCTAATGGCAATCATCCAGTGTTAATCCTCACGATTTGACTACTAGGGGAATGCTCATTCTGACAACCTCGCAATGGAAGGATGCTCTGGATTGGTTTAGGAAACAAGGATTGGAAATCTTTCGGTGGGAGTTTCACCTTGTTTGTTGACCTTATATTGGGACTTTGTTGTACTGAAATGGAGTCTTGTGTTCTCCAGTCATTTTGGTTGGGCACTCTCTGTCCGTGCTTTATGGGAGAAAGCAAATTAGAAAATCTCTTGTTCTGCTGGTGACCATAGCTCTTGGCTATTCAAGAGCTGGACATTAGTTGTTGGTCGGAAGTTTGACGGCGACCAGTGTGGCTGTCCGTTCTTTATCTCAGCTTCGCTGACGGCTTGGGTTAGCATAAGATTTACATAAGGTAATGGAACCTTTGTCTCATTAGAATATTTAAATTTGTAGCTGATTATTCATTTCGGTTGATGCAATGTAAAAGATTTACATAAGATTACATACATGATCTTTAGTTCTTGGATTAGTGTAAGATTATCATCTGGTACTTGGCTAACGACCGACAGCTGACAATAGGTATTTAGGAGTTAGAATATTATATTGAACGAATATAGTGAAGACTTTCATAGTTGAAGATCTCAAAATTTTGTATGATAGGATCATAGGAGCTCAATTGTAATAGATAGGATTTTATTGTGCTTTTTGTATGATAGGAACTCGATTAAGATAATTATTTTGGACTACTCAGTCACACCGAGATAGTCAATATTTGTATAGTACTTGATTATCTTAATTTCTTTTTTTCTTTTTTTTTTTTTTACTTATGGATACAAGATATATTCTCAGAAATATGTCTTATTTACTTTAAAATTTAATTTAAAAAATATATATGTAATAAATCAACTCACAAGATATTCTCACAAATATGCATTCTTTACTTAATATATTTGACATTGCTATACTTTATTATCTTATTCATATGATTCTCTACACATGAGATTTATTTTTATTTGCTTCTATGACAATATACTTAAAAATATATTTTTCATTCATTCAAAAATAATTGATTGTTGTCTAAGGCAATGTATACTATATATTTTATTAGTAATATACTATCAATGTTTAATTTGTCATTATTATCTTTGAAATGATAATTGTATCATATTGATTATTAAAATTTATTTATATTATATCATTTAAAAATTAAAATAAATTAATTTATTGTTGGGCATGACGTTTCGCGCAAACCTCGTGCCTGTGACTAGTATGACTAAGTATATTTATATGAAGAAGTGGAGAAGTATATAAATTGGGGCTTTTACGGTTTTACCCTTGTTAACTTCTGTTTAAAATCTGGCTAAACTGAGCAGAGAAAAGCAACGCAGGAGAAATGAAATCAGCAATGGAAGTATCAACTTCAACCAAGATCGAAACTGAAGCCAAGAAGGTCAGCACCAAACCCCCTTTCAGACCTGCTAAAGATGACACCAAGCCACTCCTCCAAGACCCAGTAAGATTTTCCACCGCTTCCCCTTCAATTTTGAACAAAAATTCTCAATTTCTTTTGATATTTATGGTCGCCATGTTGTTGTGCTTGTCTTTGTATAGATATTGAGGTCAGACCCCATTGAGACTGAGGAAGCTGTGCTCAGATTGCCCCCCTTTCCAGTCGCCAAACCCAAACCTTCAATCGTTTGATTTTTTATTTTATTTTTTAATTTTAATTTCCTGGTAAATCGTTTGTAGTGGTTGACTGGTTGTGATTCTTTAATTCTAATGATTCACAATCTAAGTTTTTCCTTTGCATTGTGGTGCTTGTTTAATTTTGATTGGCTGCAGATGTTTCTTTCTTTTGCATTTTTCAAAATTTTCCCCTTTCTTATGAGACTTTTGCACAACTGGCTAATACAATTATACATTTTTAGCATACAAACTGGTTAGGGCACATGAGTGCTTCAATGATAGTATGCAATTAGTAGCATAAGATTGTACAATTAGAATTGCAGTCTTGCAGGGCCATGGATATTAACTTGACATTGCAGTTCACAGCTTCAAGAAATATAATCTGATTCTTAGTCTAACTTGTAAGAAAAACTTTGGTGGATCCATTCTGGGTGAAGTCCATCTTGTGACCACGAAAAGTCGAATTTGGAATCTTGTGGTTACCAAGTGAACTGTCCGACCAACTTGGCTAGGGTTGCCCCGTAGTTCTTAGGCACTTTGTCCTATAGCTCATTGTTATTCACAGTGGCGAAAGTGAAAGTCTGGCTTTTAGATCAAGTTGTATGTATTGCTTTGATGAGTAGAATTAGAGCCTGAATATCTCATGATAGAGACATCATATGATGAATAAATATTTGGTTGTTTCACATGCTAAGAACAACATTTTGCCTTCATCAATTGTTTGTAAAAGCTGCCTATGACCTAGAATTGCAGTATAGATAGAGTTGGTGATCCTTGTATTCCAGTGTTCCAGGATGTTTTAACAATGGTACTGTTAAACCATCTTGTTAGTAAAATACATTCTTTTATGTAATGATAAAGGTTTTGGATACCAACATGAATTAAGTAGAAACCATACTACCTACAAGCATATTACCTATTGCTCCTTGGGTGTTACCTATTCTTTCAAACTAGATGTTCCCATATCTTTCTGACAAAAGGTGGAATGGTCCACCCTAAGTGCCTTTACACTTCAGCCCGACAGTTTGTGAAGGGATAAACCATGATGACTCAACTGATCAATAATGCTATAATGGCCACCTTAAGTGTCCCCACACTTCGGCCCGACAGTTTGTGAAGCGATAAACCATGATGACTCAACTGATCAATACTGCTACACACAAAGAACCTTCCTCATTTTGTGACAAATTTCATCTTTGTGACTACTTAAGCTACCCATGCGGCATGTTTCCATATCCTACATGTATGTGTTGCAATTTGGCCGTGTGGTCTTGACAATTTCAGCTTGGGTAATTCAGTCCGTCTGATTAATGTGTTATTTAGTGTTGTTTGGAGTGATAATCATCAATAGTAATTATCTATACTTCTTGAACCATAAAACATTGTTATGCTAACAACTTCGTTCTTTTGATGGGCAAGATTCCAGAAGTTAATGTAAGTTTAAGGTTAAGTTTGAACTAGAATGAGAAAAGGACTAAATTGAAATCCAATCAGTACAGAAACCAGTCTTGTTTGGAGGTTGACAAGTTTAAGCATGAAGACATTGCCAGAAAAACTGATCAACCTCATTACTTCCCAATTCCCATGAACTAAAAGATTACAATAGTCTATCATATCCTAACACCTGAATGAATGTGTTAACACAATGTTCTAAGAATAATGCATTAACATATGTGAGTTATCATGGGATCACCGAGATGCCCCAGACAATGTTTGGTTGGCAGGCACGATAGCTTCAGGAAATCCCTCTGGTAAGCGGAGCAAAGGTTCTCTTGCGGATTGTCCTTTAAAGGCCATTGCAAGTGAGTATCCTAAGGCTCTTGCCACTGGCACAGCAACTGCATTCCCCACTTGTATGTATCTAAATCACAAGAACCAACAATGAAAAGAGATAGATACAAGTCATGCATTCTTGCATAGCAAACCCTAAAACCCTCTGTTGAGCATATAATAATATATATAAAATGTAAGTGTGCAGTATTACTGTTAGTTTAAATTTTTAGTTGAAACGGAACACATCATTCAATTCCCTGCTATAGTTGGTCTTGATAGTAAGTTACTTTGACTAGCCTTATCACAAAGATGATTATTTTAGGCAACTAGTAATTTGGACTATACCAAACCATTAGTGCTTCTTCCAAAGGATAATCTACATACCAATCTCCACTTTTGTCATATCTCCAAACTAATAAATTTCACTTGGGTTAACAAAAATTTGAATGCCCAGAATTTTGACTAATCAAGAACATTACCTATCTTTAATTGATCCACAAAGTTTGTAGTAGTCAGGGAAACCTTGCAACCGTGCATTTTCACGGACTGTAAGAACCCTATCCTGCTCAGGATGCAAAATGGCCTGGCAAGTATAAAAAGAAAACAAAATGCAACTTTAGTACAAATCCATGTATCAATATGCAAATCTGCTAATAGTTTTAAAATAAAAATTACCCGATTATGAGGCTGAGCCCTTGTTACAACAGTTGGAACAGTTTCATCCCACCAAAGCCGAGCAAATGGCCTAATAGTGTTTCATACAAGCAGCCAAAGAGGAGCAACATATATGAGTGACAAAAAGTTATCAAGGAAAAAAGGGCAGATAAAGTTACAAAGAAAAAGGAAATGTTAGTAATTACTCTGAGGAAGTCCCTCCACAGAAAGTCATTGCATAGTCAGGAACCTGCACAGTTTCGCAAAGACTGATAAGGACTGGGAAGCTACAAACCAACATATAATCAAGAAAGTTTTCACCAAAAAAAAAAAAAAAAAAAAAAAAAAAAAACATAATCAAGAAAGTAAACTATACCAAGGGTTTGCCTGAAGGCAAGTACACTCTTTCAACTTTCGGATCCCATTCAACTTTGTTATCACGAACAAGAACACCAGTCAAATCCCTGAAGTTAGCACCCTAAAATAACCCAAAATGAAATGCTGACATTATGAAATTACAAAAATTTTATCGGTATGTTCAAGTGCATTACTGTTACTGAATAGATTCATATACCTTCAACTTGGGAATATTACACACTCTTCTATAATCATCTTCATTTAGCTGAAGCGGACGATGGTCATGCAAAATACACCCTGGCTTTCCTATTATAATGAAATTCAATCAGGAAAACCAAATATACATGCATATCTGTCAGCAAATAGATAAATGCATGATATTAAACAATTTAATACATAGGAACTCACCATCCTTCCCTAATCTTATGAAATTTTGAAACCCAGTCTTAGGCTCATCAACATATTCCCTTTCATCTCTTGATTCATCATTCTTCACCTAAAACAATTAATATAAACTCGTAAAAGTGCAGTCTATAATTATTCTATGGAGAAGAGAACCAGTAGGAGATATTATTGCAAAAATGGAACATGAAGATTTCCCATACAGGAGGAAGATCAGAGATTGCATCACCAAGGAAAAGCGCCATCTTTAGTCGAGTACCATGTCCTTCATCATACGCAACGGTGTTTGACTGAATTCATAAATAGATTATAGTTAACCATAGAACAAAGCTGCAAAGGGTTAGAAGTTCATATGCATACAGAATTGCCTATGAAAAATCCACCTCAAACTCTGTAGGAACAGAACCTCGCATAACAACATTATGTGTTGGCAGGGGATACTGCGGCAACTTCTGCAAAATAAGACTAAGGGTCAATTTGTTCAAGACAATCACATTTCTGTCAAACACAACAAAGCTTTGATATTACTTCTCCAGGAAGGGCACCCCACATAAAAACACGCATTCGAAATTGTGGGAGTCCATATGCTCCAGCTGCCATTATTCCTAGGCGTGCTTGATAATTCATCCCTACAAGTCGACCTAGTGCATATCTCCCAAGAAAACCATGTGAAAACTTGACTATATCAACAACATTTTCCATCAGTACAAACCGTGGCTTCAAGAACTTTACAATATCCATGAAAACTTCTAGCTGCTTGTTCTTGGGATCCTCCAACGGATTCTCACTTTTCCTAAAACGGTTGAATCCACTGATGCCTTGGCAAGGAGGACCACCGCATATAACATCAACATGACCCTGAATCAAATAAACATCAAATCATAATCCAAAAATTGTGCACATAAAGAAACCACAAGTAAACAAGTTTGCTAGTGAAGCAATCTAACTCAAGAATCAAGCATAAAGTCTCAATATAAACCATAGAAAGAAATAATAATCAAGTTAATAGCTCATATAGGGAAAGGGAGCATTGAGTGTGAACTTACAGGCAAAGGCAAAATTTTTGCTTTAACCCCATTTTCTACAAACTCCTTCAATTTTTGCTGACAGTCACTACATACCAAACAACAAAGGCTAAATGAATTAATGTAAAACAGCAATACAAACCACAATATTGGTTAATAGCTTTTCAAATCATACCTCAAACCTTCTATAGGTTCCCATGTGTCACTAGCTGCATCATAACCTTTCCAGCGTATCTAGGTAGAATTCATAAAATGTAATGCATAAAACACAGATTGTGATTTCTACAATATGGAAATTATTTAAAGAGGAGAAGAAGTGTATCCATTCAAACTAATACAAACTAAAAGTATGAGCAAAACAATTGAGTACCTTGAAGTACAGTTCAGACTTTCCTGTTTCTTTTAGATCCCCAAAGCAAACATCTAATATTAGTTCAACTTCATATATTTCATCATCTGTGTCACTTCTAGGCTCTTCATCATCTTCTTCATGACTATTATCGCTCTCGCCATTATTGTGGTTTGCAAGATTTAGACAAGGGTGTGGTAGTGAGTTGCTTTTTATTAAGGAGCAGGAAACACAAAGGCGCTCCCATTCCCTCAAGAGACACAAAAAATCATCAGCTGGTTCATTTCTAACCTGATTTAATGAAAGCGCACACAATATAAAATAGAATTAGAAACAAATACAATAAGTAGAAGGTAAAATCATATGGAGTAATATACACTCATTGAATACCTGTGTCTCTGGATGATTCAATCTCAAACTATCACATGCATGTTTGTTAAAATCCACTGCCCATTTCTACATTTGAAAAAAACTTATCAATATAATACAATAGCAATGTCAGATGCAATGCAAAACCATGTTTGAAAACCAAGATTTTGGAGACAATGTGGAGCTTACAGTAACAAGCTTAACACCATAATTATCAGCTCCTAAGCATAAACCAGTGGACATTGCACCACAACCAGAATACAAATCAAGGAGGGTCTTTTCCAACGCGCGGTCTTTGCTTTCTGCAGTATCATTTTCGCTGGATATTGTAGAATCTGATTCACTAACAGCTTCATCAGTAATATCTGAATGACAAATATGGTCCTTTTTACCAGTTTCCAATTGAATGTATTGTAACAAAAACTGAACTACAATTTCATTCATTTACTAACAGAACAAAAAGAGAAAGAGAAATACCAGGTGGCAAGCTTATAAATGTTGAGTAAGGTAAAAGGTACATCATATCATAATAAAAGTCGCACTCAACTTGAACACTTGTAAAATCTGAATTTGCCTATACAAGAATTGAATATGAATCAGAACTCTGGTAAATAGTATTTTGATAACATTTATCAATCAAGTAAGATGATTCATACATTAGGGGTCAGGCGATGTAAATTCAACTTTTGGACAAGGCAATCGATGGGATTATCATCCTTAACTTCAGAAAGGAAGACACGCCTTCTGTCAATTAAATTGTCATGCGTTTTAATAACCTGATAAATGAACTTTGTTAGAGCACCATAACATTAGAAAGCAACTAAATCACATGTCTCCAGCAACTTCCAATTACTTACAGTATCTTTAGCTCTATAGAACCATTGAGCTGTGAAATAACGCATCCCATCAACCGCTTCAAACATCTCAACAATTTTACAGATATAATTCTCTTCATTTTCTGCTGCCTAAAAAAAAAGAATCAAGCAAGTAAATAAACATTGTCTAGATCCATGGCATTGGCCTCACATGGGAACACTAAATATTACAAAATGTATGCATTTTATTTTTAAGAGTCTTGTTTTCTCTTATCAAGATACTGCTGAAATTCAAAACTACACCAAACATTTGCACTTGACTTGCCTAAGCATGGTTTTTAAGGTTATTAAAACCACACAAATTACTAGAAGTATATTCTATTCTCTCCCAATAACTAAAAGAAAATAAGATTTGAGGTGATTTCTCTAGTTATAAAACAAAGTTTAATGCACATCCACTGTTAACTTAGAAATGCAATCCTTCTGAAAAAATGGCTAAATACCTCCATCTAGTGGTCTGGTTTAAAGAAATAAAAACCAAAATAGACAAATGTATAAATACAAGTATATCATAGTAGCAAGACTTAAAATGTAAAATAACCATAGCAAACAAATACATTTAGGATCTTACTTTCACATTTCTTCAAAAAAAAAAGGTCTTACTTTCACATATGCATCATCCTCCAGGCAATAAATCTGGTCATCAACCTTCAACCTAGTAAAATGGCATTTGGCCAGAATTCTGTCTTCAAGCTCATCCTGACTGCACCAATTCATTTAACTATATATCAGTACATACTCAAAATCAAATGCATAGAATAAAAAGTTCACATAGAATAAACTGCAAATCCATATATGACAATGATAATAACTTGCCTATTTAAGCGCTGTCTTCTTTCATTTGTTTGTTCCTTAGGCTGTTACCAACAACACTAAATTGAATAAATAATTAGCACAACCAAAAAAGGCAGAGCAAAAAGCCAGGCAGGTTAATTTCAATACCATTACAATTGTGCAATGACAACTAAAAAGTGTTATGCATGTTTTTGAGAATGTTATATATAGCATGACCATCAATTTGAATTTAAAAACAAAACAAAAAAAAAAAAAATGGAAAAGCATTAGTAAGCATTTCAAAGGGAATAAGTATATATGTCAATTACACAATGGTAGACTGGTAGTGTCATCATCAATTGCTTTAGTATACATAGTTATATAGATGGTGTCAAATTTTAAGCATTTAAAGATTGTTAGCGGGTGTATTGACCAAGTGCTCACGCAATGAACATTATGTCACAAGATTAAGTTCAGAAGTGCATCAGAAAAGTGAAAACACACAGTTAAGGTAGTACTATTATCCTTTTGAAAACCTGCAAAATGAAGCAGCTTTCTATTCTCTTTTCATAGATATTTAGAATTATGAATTATATTTAAAGTAGGAAAGCAAGTTTAAGGTAGTTAAAAGTCCCACATTGATAAAATAAGAGATAACATATGAGTTTATATGGCTATGGTTAGACAAGCTAATTGATTGGATTCAATCTTTTAGTGCGGTTTGGCCCATGTGCAGTTTAATGCAAGTTTTATAGGCACACATGGCACACATGATACCATAAACAACCTAAAATATGAAACACAAACGGAACTGATGAAAATACTACATAAATGGTATATTTTGGTATCCATCTGTAATATAGGCACACATGATACCATAAACAACCTAAAATATGAAACACAAACAGAACTGATGAAAATACTACATAAATGGTATAGAGGGAAGCCATATGCAAATATTGTAAGAGATGGACCTGAGAAGTTCAGGTGCATTCATTTTGAGATATGAATCAAGAAATAGATTTTTTTTTTAATAAGAGCCCGGAATTCAGGATTAAAACATGCAAGATATGTGAGCAAATGACAATCAAGAAATAGATTTAGTTACTTCTTTTGGGGTGTACATTGACAAACTTAAGAACTGAAATTCACAAAGCATTAAAGTGCATCTGGGAAAGGAAAAAGAAACTGTGATCAAACACAAAGAGGAACATTCGTTTCCAGGGAACACAGAACTATGGTTGGCACCTAAACTCAATACACATCTTAACCCAAAACCAAATTCTTGACAACTTGAGTCTCCTCCCTTTAACCATTTTATATTTCCAAATGTTGTGTGAAATGAATACCCCAGAGAGAGATACAGAGAAGATGGATAATTGTTGAATCTTGGTTATTGTCTGAATTTTAGACAACTCAAAATTGAATACCCCAGAGAGACAGAGAGAAGATGGATAATCCATACAAAATTTTAAAAAATAAAATAAAAAAGAGAGATGAATTTGGAGGATGAGACCTGTTGATAACGGTGAGGCCAGCGCTGCCGGGCTTCCACTGCCGGAACCGGCTCACCAATAAACACATTCTCATCCTCATTTGCCACCGCATCCCTCGGCACCTTCCGCCTGGGCGGCTCGTCGCCGCTACACTTAGCCAGAATCACGCGAGCAGAGCCATCTTCTTCCTCCACAGCCGGGACTCCTCCCAAACCCTCCTCCTCCTCCGCCTCCGCCTCCGCCGGCTCAGGCCTCCCTCTCTTAGACCTCCGCCTGGGAGTTGAATCCTCCCGTTTTCGAGGCATGGGAGTGGCGAATGTAGGGAGGGATTATTAGAGGAAGAAATGGGAGAAAATTCAGAAAATGATCAGTGGTTTTGGCTGAAGTGATAGTAAAAAAAAATAAAACTATGGGAGAGTTTTTTTTATATGCTACAGGATCCGACCCTACACAGTTATTGTAAAGGTAAATCAAGTCAGACTATTCTCTAACCTTATTTCTTGATATGGTGGATTCTGATAAAATTATCTCTTGTATATGGATCTACATCCAAATTTTGTGCGTGAGAGTACAAGTTGAAAATACACATAACATTTTCTGACAATTAATTTATTAGTTAGACTTTAATTTTTATATAAAAATGACTCAATTCACACATTTAAACATACGCTGATGCTTTCCATTGTGACACCAAGTTAACTGAAACTATAAATCTCGTTTTGATATAATAATTCCGTAAATTGAATCTTGTTAGTAATTCATAAATTAAACAAAATTAAAGTGCATTAAAAATATCATAAATTAAATTACTCCGTAAGAATTTACCTTGGCTCAGTTGGCGGGTAAAAGAGTTTTACTTTTGGGAGTGGTGAAAGTTTTTAAAGGATGAGGGGAAGCGGGAAAGCAAACAATTGGGACATTTGGCGCGGTTGATGCAATTTACTGCTGGATATTATATGTTTTTTTATTGCTCTACTTGGTAACAAATTTATAATTAATCTTCATTCATTGAACAAGGTGAGAGTATGGCGGCATGACAGATTTTCAGTTCATGTATCTCTAAATTATATTCTAAATCAATTAATATTAATATCGACTACCATTGAATGCCCAGTGAATTGAAGTCTTCTTATTAATGTGCAGTAATTAATTTGGAATTTGACATTAATTCCCTCAAATTAAACCAAGCTCTTCCTCTAAAAAGTTAAATCGTCAACCCAAGACCCGATAGAGTCTCAGTAACTCAGTAGACCGGATCAAATACCGATGCGTACAAGGAACTATCCACTTTGAGTATAATTTCACGCTACCAGCATTTGGAAGGATGTAAATCTCAATGACTCAGCAGACAGGATCAAATGCCGATGCGTATAAGGGATCTGCCCACTTTAGGCATAATTCCACACTACCACTTCCAAGTTTCAAATAGTAGTCTCTTCTCCCAAATATTATCTACTGAACCAGTAAACTAAACTCGTGTGGACAGATTAAAGTAAACTTCATTTGAGGGAATGGTGAGTTTATAGTTGTTAGAGCAATGGCAGCCAAATGCATCGCCTCATACAGATAGCAAACAAGCATATATATTTTCAACTTTCGTCACTCTAAATATTGTCCGAAACGAGGTATAACTGTTTAAAATTTGTTAAGTTATAATATATGTTTTATATAAAAAAAAAAATTCTATACAATTAATCGGGATCAAGATACAATATGCGATAGTATTTGTGCAATATTGAAATTCTTTCTAATAATCGATATTTGTACCTAGTATCATTAAAAATCATTTTAATAATACTTGGTATTATTGCAACGGTTTCCATGTACAAATATGTACTATTGAAAATCATTTCAATATTATAAAAATGTGATTTTGTTTTGAATTGATATCCATGTTAGTTAATCAGAGTATATCTGCTGCATGTGTTTGTCTGTTGATCAGTTCATTGAGAAAGCAGACTAGTAGCAATAGATCGAAGAATAAACAGGGACGGAGCCAGAAATTTGGTTGAGGGGGGCGAAACAGTACATACGGATTCAGAAATTTTTTTCAGAAAAGGCGACACATTAAAACAAAAGAGATAATTTAAAAATAAAAAAATAAACTACCTAAGAAATATAATTGTAAATAGTGTTGGATATGGACGAAAAATAAAACACATCGAAACTTTATAAAAATATTCATAACAAAATAGGAAGCATAATTAATAAAATAATTTGAATAGAAAACACATTATAAATTACACATCTTATTATAGAGTGTGTGTTTAATATTAAAAAGCTATTAAAAAAGAATTGTAAAACTATGTTGATGCTAAGATTGGAACCCTTAACCTCATTACTAGCAAAAATGTGTTCTACCACCTACTCTAACTCAATTCTTGTTAACATTTTATAGTTTTTTTATACTAATACTAAAACATGCACTATATATACATATACACATACAACTACTATATATGGGGTGGGGGTGGGGGTGGGGTGAGGGGGGCAGCCGCCCCCCTTGCCCCCCCTCTCCCTCCGTCCCTGAGAATAAGCAACTCCGGAACATTGAGAAAATAAAAAATAAAAAAGCAAAGAAAATCCAAGAATCTGACCCAAAAAAAAAACAATATTATAAAAGTCTTAATGGTATACATCTCCTAAAATTATTATTGTAAATAAAATAAAAAATTAGAGTATAAATTTAAGAACTCTTAATGGATCAGGTATTATTGGTCCGCGTCAGTTATGTAGATATACATACATTCTGTATAGTCGCATGCAATGTATATACTCCGTATTTGTAGACTTGTTGTAATGAACTTATGTGAAGGAAATATGTAGGTTAGTAGGTTACGTTATAGGTATGATGTATGGTTGTAACTTGTAACAAATTTTTTAAAATTTCTCGTAGAGAGAATCTCTCACACCACTACCGTTATTGAGAGCTCACAATTTGTTTTATTTTTTAAAAAAAGAGATTGAAATATATTCAAACTCCGTTATGATCAACTCAAATAAGTCATTAAAAAAAAAACTGGAATAATTTAAAGCAGTCTTGATTCAATTTTTTTAGTATAAATAAATTATATTAAACTCAAAAAATAATCAAATAGAATTTAGCAAGGTAGTTAGCATCGATAGAGTAGAGTTTAGAGGCATAAGCAGGGCAGGAGAAGTACACCACCAGCAGGCAGACAGTAGTAGCAAATGGGAAACAAAAAAATTACAATACAAATAGTAATGGACAAATTAAAGCTCAAAAACATTAAAACCCAAAATTCAAAAATCACCAAATCCCCTTTCAGGCCATTGAAAAAGTGACGGCAAGAAGGTGAGCGAGACAAGACTAGATTCTGTACTGATAGGATTTCAATCTAGTCAGCCCTTTTCTCATTATTCTAGTGCAAACTTACCTTAAACTACTTAGAGCATCCATACTAGTAGTTTTTTCATGGTTATTATGATGAGTTGGAAGTGAGAGATGGTGATTTGGAAGAGAAATGAGAGAGGAGATAGGAGAAATTCATTTGCAATAGGAATGACTTTTTGTAGGTCCCATGAGGAAAGAGAAAAGATACACAAATCTTGCCAATCAAAAGTACAAAGTTGTTAGCATAACAATGTTGTATGGTTCAAGAAGCACATATCATATCATTACTATTAATGATTATCACTCCAAACAACACAGAGGACAAGTAATTACTCCAAGCTAAAACTGTCAAGACCACACGACCAAACTGCTACAACTAAACTATGCATAACTACACCATCTAGTTGGCAACACATACATAAATACAGCATATGAGAACATATAGTTTGGACGAATAGGTAACACCCAAGAAGTGATAAGAATGATGGAACGAATGGCACTACACAGAAGTACTCAATATTCTTATAGGTAGTATGATTTCTACTAATTCATGCTGATATCCACAACCTTTATCATTACGTAAAAAAATGCACTTTACTAACAAGATGGTTTAACAGTACATTTGTTAAAACATACTGGAACACTGGAATTACAAGGATCACCAACTCTATCTATAATGAAATTCTAGGTCTTAGGCTTTACAAACAATTGAAGAAGGCAAAATGTTGTTCTTAGCATGTGAAACAACAAAAAATGTATTCATCATATGATGTCTCTATCATGAGATATTCAGGTTCTGATACCACTAATCAAAGCAATACATACGACTTTATCTAAGTTTACTGCAACATGCAATGTTTTATGGTTTAAGAAGCACATATCATTACCATTATATTTATGATTATCACTACTACAGTTTGTATATATGTTGTAAGAAAAAGAATGCTTCAAATTTGGACTAATCAAGAACATACCTTTCTTTAATAAGAGAAAACAATATATACCTAAGTAGCAGAGTTTCTTTCTTTCACAAAATCGTATTCACAGTATATATATTATGTAAGAAAAAGAATGCCCCAATGCAGACTCAGCTAGGATGCCTGATCGTCGTCCTTCACCTGTTCCAGCCCCATACGAAATCCCACTCCATTAAGAATTATTTGCAAAGGCTTCGGCTTCGACGGCAGTGGCTATTCCAGGTGAAGTTTGTGTTATAAAATAATTTATAATATTTTTCAAAATTATTTTGGAGAAATTTATATAGATATATGAATTCCAAATATATACTATATATAATAACAAATCATAGATATATGTATGCCTTTAAGAGAACAAGAATATTCAAATTGCATACATATCCAAACTAATCAATTAGGCAGAAATTATATTTTGATATGATACCAACTATAAATCAAAACCTTTATGTATTATAACTTAAATGCAGAAGCACAATCAACATTTGATTGATTTGGTTTACATGCAATCAAATGTCGCAACCTAAGCTTTGATACAACTTTGTATCATAGCTTAATCAATTATATTTCCTATGCTCAAGATTTTGCACGTAACGTTGGGATCGGCAGTGGCGTGAATTTTCTGAACCATATTCTCGTACAGCTCAAAATAAATCCACGCCGCCTTTTCACGCCTGCTACGACATTTTGTGCTTAATGAGTACATGTTATCTTTAGTGTTCTTGGCATATTGCAACACCAAGTTCGAGGCGACATTCAAGAAACCTGATTTATCCTTAATATCTCTGCGATTACTGTTACCTCGAGTTGGGTAGTACTGGTATGTCTACGGGTGATGTGAGTCCAATTACACATTTTTAGTATTAGTTTGATCATGTTTGTTTGGTTCAATTCCGTAAAAATGGTAATTTAATTGCATATTCCTTTGTTTTATCATTTAGATATGGTTCACACTTGTTTTGAATGTTTTACGATGTTTGTTAGTGTTTTTGAACCATTGTAGGTCAATTATATGAGCAAGGGAAGTTTTAGGACAAATTTGAAG